TTTTATAAGTTAATCTGTACCTTGCTATTTATGTGGCTATTACGCGCATGATCGGCACCTTCCAGCGTAACCCGCATTTTTATAAGAATTAACATTATTTTTTTTTCGAACTGTGAGATATATGTTACGCTTCTGTATGCTGCCAGCAATTAAAATAGCAGAATTACAAGTCTATCGATTGTTGTCGTTGCGACGGAAATCTTATAGCGGTTACGCTTGGTTAACCGGGTTCACATGCTGGCCCTCGGTCAAATGAACAAATCACTAAGCGCGCGGCCAATTTTTAACTAAATAAACATCGGCGACTTTTGTTTGTCGAGGTCTGAAACCCGTCATTACAATCAAATACTGGAAAACAAGGAGAAGCTCATGTGTGTGGCTGAAGTACCCACAAGCTACCGAATCTGCCAGCACCTTTCACGCGCACAAAACAGCTTAAAGGTTCGCGAATTTCTAAGTTCCACAGTTGTGCCGGTAAACGATGATGTCATGACATCTTCGACGATTAGGCGAAAAGAAGTAAGATGGCCAATTGAGCCCATCAACATTTACCGGCGCTGGCCCGCCGTATTAATCTGAACGTTTAAAGTGCTATCGACGTTCTTTGAAATGAGGGTGTTGCTTTGCACAGCTACGAAGGGATGAACTTGTATCTCGCAGAGCAGTCCTGAAGGCGTCATGAAAACTGATGTTATTTAAAATTCTTCTGAATAGCGGAAAAGAAATGAAGTACAGTCATTTTCCTCCCTAAAATCTTAAAGGCGGGGCTGGTTCTACATCGCCTATTTTGTTCATTATAGTAGTGCATAATAAGACTTTGACGTCTTTTGACGTTCGTGCTGGTCAGAGTTTTTGGAAATCGTTTTTTAAGCGGATGCCAAGTTACGAAACTGAATGTTTTTAAAGTAGCCCATGGAGTCTTGTGCAGAGAGGGACCTTATGCTCTTCTCTAAGGCCGGTAATACGAGGCAGTAGGGGCATTCAGCAAGACTGATCATCAGTTCAAGATCAAGCACATGTAACGTGCTATTCGTAGCATAATAACTACTTTCTAGCACCTGAACTAACAATTATGACTTTTGATGCAACTCTGCCGTGTTTTTAACCTGTCTGCATGGGAATTTCATTTGTGTGTTGTTGATCTCAAGTCTCTATCTGGTTTCAACCTTTCAACTGTCGACCGGTGAGATTATGCGTGTTCTCTTCCACGGGAACATATCTTTGATCTCGTTATTTACTTTTTCGATCAGAACTGTAAAGCAGCAAATAACATAGTTGTTAAAAAAGCGGCTCACGAGAATGTGAAATTCTCGGTTCTTCTATCCTTCATATCATCGCGCCCCGTTTTTAAGATTCGATAGTGTAGCTATAAAGCTGGTCTGGAAGGTTGTCTCCAATATTAGCAGGGGAATGAAGCCTTTAGGGGGCGTGAGAATCCTGGCAGCTGAGAAGGGCAGGAGCTGGAAGATGTTTATCCAAAAACCATGGATGACAATAACACGAGAGGGCTCAAACAGTAACGTCAGCCAGCTCGACCGGACTTCCACAGTCGAACGTTCCAGCATTCGGATCAGCTTAAAAAAAACGTACTTGAGAAGCGCCGTTTCAGCGGAGCGTCATAAGTTGCGGAAAGAACGCTGCATAGAAGCTGTGTGCAGGATCCTGATGGCCGACGTAAAGAGGACACTAATCACGCCGCAAAATCCACCGTATGCAATGGCCGTCAATTTCAAAGCAATCTTCCCTTTGGTGGTTAGGGACAAAATTGTGTTCATACTGGGCGAAGTGGGTGCCTCTGTGAACTTACTCAGCTTTCTCGCTGCGGTTCTACAAGAGAACGGAATAATCATCGACGACGCAACAGCCGAACTCCCGTCTTTTCCACAGACAGTTGGTCTGCCTCAAGGAAAGAATTAAGGCCCACTCTTATTCTTTATCTTGCTAAAAAGCCTATCTGATCGAATAAAAGGGCTAAGGACGTTAATCTAAATCAGTTCAAATATATTTTAGCGGGTAACGTTCTTGCCTCCTAATTAGGGACACTTTGTGATGTAGGCTCGAGCTCGGTCGTAGACATATTTCATTTCGTGTCCGGACCCAGGCTTATGATGGAATGCTTAATGTGGATATCAGAAGTACAGTGCAAAATATAAATGTCGAAATCGCGGGTCCATGTGGCAGTCATAGGTTTGGAAGTGTAAACTTGAACGGAACAGAAATTAGGTTAAGAAAGCCGCCGTTGACATTTTATATCTTGCCAGGTTACGTATTTTCCATGATAAATAACCTTCGTACTTGGATTGCTCTTCTTCGCGATCAACAGATGTTTCATTGTGCAAGTCACCGAAAGATACAAAAAGGCAGTGAGGGCCATACGAGCGATCTTATCGTCGTCACTTAAGTTACCGTTCTTAGGTTGTGCGAACTTAAGTAGCTCCAATCGTAGTGCATAAAATACGTGTCATTCGGGAAAACTTTGAAAATTAGGTTGCGTGTAAGTCTGGATCCTTGGAAGTGCCCTCGGAATACACATAGCGACTTGCAATGCGACCGGCCTTCGCTGTCCGACAATCTACGTAGACGCTCTGAGCTCCCAGGAACGGAAGCCTTTAAGAACAATCTTACCAATCGCTCAGACTGATTTCATTACTTCGGGTACGATGGGGAACAATGAGCGGGAAAGAACGAACCGGCTAAATAGACATGTGATCGCTATCTTGTGAAAAGTTTGTTAAGGTAGAACATAGATGATGGCATCCATTGAAGGCGTCGCCTAACATAACTCGCATATGCGTACTACGCATGCACTTTATCAATTAAGATAAATTATTTCTTTTAGCAGCTACAGAACATCGTAGATTATTCTTTTACTATAGCTTAACATCCCGCGTCTTCAACACGCCGAAAATGAACAGGAACTATTCGCCAGAAGATAACTTTTTTTTGGATCAACGGCTCAAATGACTGATACAGGCCAGACTGGACTAGTACTGTCGGTTTCAAGCACCTATCTCTATCAGCCCGGATCCTCACTGAGCTAAATAATATTGGAAACAAACAGCTGCGTCCCGCACAACTGAAACGTCAAATGAATGATGACAACGCGAGTCAATTGTTTACTATATAACCTTCTGTATTATAATTATTAGTTCAATAAAAATGTCAATAATAATAGCGATAATATTATTATTAGATGTGCTATTTACAACGAAACCAATTACAATCAATTGACGATCTCCTGATTTTTCGTTTTCCCTTTGCCTTATCGTTAGTCATTTATTATTCCTCGTCTATCGTTTACTTTCGCATATATAGAAAAAATTAACGACTACATATTGCCAAGTAATTGTACATAATTATTCTTAATAACAATTGATTTTCTAGGTAATTGGCGGTTCATGTGTCGGTGTCTCGCTCGTTCTACCACGACTTATATAGCGATACTGTGTTATCGACGCTGGCGACACAGGACACGGATTTTTCAGATCGAACCGAGAGATCAGTATCGGTTTCGTTGGAGCATGCGCACCGAATCCTCAACAGATGTCGCTAATGTTCCCATAGCAGAATGTTTTCTTTTAGCAATGTTTACCTGTTTGACGTTCGTGTTTTCTATATTGTTATTTTCTCCGCCCTGTTGCGCTGTCTTGACGACGACGACGACGACGACAGCTCTGTTAGCGTAGTCACCGTCTTCCCTACTACTATTCAATTTTCTACTGTCACTCAACCACCAGACGCAAATGCTATAGCGGCTACCTTTGCACTGCTATATTTCAGCTAGTTTAATTATCATTATTCGCATTCAATATTAGTGGTCATCTGTATAATATTCTCATAATTATGTACAGAGGGACAACGGCTTGGCGGTAGGCGGCGGTGCTTCAAGAGAAATAGACTGCACGCTAGAGCATATCATTCATGCATGAAACAATGGCCAAACGTGACACGGTAACGAATAACACACTACGATTAAGGCTAAATTAGCACTCCCGCAGAGACACCATTGTTTTCATTGTCTCTGTCAGTATCAGCGTTTGCATTGAACGTATTGCCACCTTCGTAGTAATGTGTATTTTATTTAATCAATAGTGTACCTTTAGTCTCGATATTTGGTTAGTTCACCTATTCTTGTTTTTTTTTTTCAATTTTTCTTTTTTTTTACTGTAGCACATCGAGGTGTTGTCCACTGTTCTGCTGCCTTACCGTCCGTGCAGCTCGTACTTCCCAAATTTAATCAAATAAAAATATAAATAAAGATACAGATGTTCACGCACTCAAACAAGCGAGGCGTTATATAAATGGAGCTTGATCGTCAGCTGACCCGACTTCGGACTGATAGATAGGTGAGAAGAAACGATCAACCCGAAGATACAAATACTACCGCCATTCTATCCATACCTATCTAATACTTGATAAAGCCTGATTTACGGACCGTGTCTTTATTGATTACCACTAATTACTAATAACCGCCACAAAGGTCTTGTACAATTACGGGACCAATCCGAAGCTACTTCATCGCTACGTATTTCATTAAATACCGCCAATCTACTAAATATTAACTGATGATGTACAGTTTCACGTACGTTTCTCATACGTCTTTCTCTCGTCATATACAACATTCTCATAATCATTATTGTTACTGAGTGCTTTTGCATTCGACTCCTGGGGTAGGTTCCAAACCTTTGATTCATATCAGTATAGGACCGCTCACAGGCCGCTTGTTGTGGAAAACTGTACAGGAAGACGCGTCACCTCACCGTAGCAGTATTTTCATAATATCATTCACCACCATCACACATAATAGTTTCTTCGCTTCTGGTATATTTATATCTAACTTTTATTATCAGTCGTGTATGAGTGATACTCGTGTGGTCTAAACTGTGACCATTGCCGCAATCCGTGGGGTTTCAGATATTTGCCCCCTCCATTCTTTAGAATTCAGTTCCTAACAAGTTACTTCTTTGCCACGTGAATCACAAGGAAACGAAATGCTGGCAGCATTTGCTACTGTACATAAGTTCTGATGTATACATATATATATATATA